TCAATGGAATAAACGTCTTCATAAGGTCACACGTCCAGAGGCTGGTCATTGCTTAAGGAACGAGCTGACGCGATTACAAGCGTACTATTTTCGGTGTATCATGAGAGATATTCTTTCGTAAAATTCCTGCTCGCTTGTTGGCGACAGTGATATTCGCTGAGTTTCTTGGCGTCTCTAAAATGTCAATAAATACTTTGCAGTTTTCATTGCTCTTTATCGACTGCCAAAAATCGCAGGTTATGCATTAAGTCTAACAAAACCTTTTAAAATATGAAACTACATAGGAATTGAGTTCTCGGGCTACCCTCTTTCCTACAAAGGTAATTTGGGTCATAGTTTTAAACCTTCACAAGCACGAAACCCAGTTGTCTAAGAAAATTGAACTCTGCAATGAAGGCCTACGACAAATGTACTCTCGATTACTTAAACTGGTTAGATGGGGTTATTTAGCCCCACATGAAGTAAACAAACCCCAGTCGCATGTAATACGGAACCGGTGGTAATGGGGGTTTTACAGGTAATCTATGTCAAAAACGCTTTAATAGGGCATTTGTTGATGAATGTCTTGTTTTTCATCGTCATTTCTAGTAAGGTCAGAAAAAGATTGAGCGTTTTGCGCAAAAAACTCCTATTTTTCTGGAAATAATGTGCCGTTTCACGCCTTATCTCGCCGGCTTTATATGCGCTGAAGTTGGCAACGATTATTTTTGCAAATTTTTCTCGTTCAAATTAATGCCTCTAATAGGCAAATAAGCACAAATTAGCAGTTGTGGCCTAGGACAGGTATTCACGTGAAAATCCACTGATTTCCACTCAAAATTGAAAACGTTTTCTGCGGGACTGACTTATGTGGACGTGCGGCCCGAGCGGTTCAACTTCGCATAGTTGCCTACTTATCTGCTTTCAGCGACTTGGGCTCGAGTTTTTTTACGATTTTCTTCGAGTTACCATAGCCGGTCATAGCGGAGGTCGAATAGCCGGGGCGGTCTTCGCCCACATTCTCGCTTTTGTCTACGGCAGTGTATCCAATAGCGTCCAGTGCCGGTCTAGTGGACTCCGGCTGGACAAAGCGCCAACGTCCGGTCTTGTTTTCGTGACCGAGCCTCCCTCCCCCCCATCTCTCCCCCCTTATCGATCGTATGGCTTTCACTTGGGGAAGAGCGATCGCACTAGTTATCACACCTAGTCCTGTCCTTCATGCCGCTTACTGCAATTTCGCAAACGTCTTGCAGGCGAGGTTTGGTCCTGCAGTACCATTTGATTGACACCATATGGTTAACTAAAATAAATTTGGAAGGTACGATTACGTTGACCTTATATGAATCGCATGTTTGCGCCTTCCTTACTACTTTAATCCAACGAG